AAAAAAAAAAAAAAAAAAGAAAAAAAGAAAAGAAAAGAAAAGAAAAGAAGTAGCAGTACAATGAGTAATATGGAAAAAATACACAAAGTATTTGCACTCCCTCACCTGGAAGACTGTGTTCAGTGCTCACCACCCTATCTCAAAAATGACATTGCAGAAACAGCAGTTGAGAAGTTGGTAACCAGAATTGTTAGATATCAGGACTTAGATTTCCAGGTAGGGAGATATTGAAAAGACCTGGACTGCAGGTTTAGAGAAGAAACATGACAGAGGAATAAAGATAGTGAATGATAAAGAAAGGTAAGTCAGAAATAGCAGTTTTGGTGATACTGGAAGAAAGTTTTTAATACAAATTTTATAAAATGAAAGGCAGTAAATTTCATCCTGAAATAAAGAGTGCTTACAATTATACAGAGAAAAAGAATAAATCACATTTCATTCAGAGAAATTATACTAGATATTAATCTCTTGAGGATTATCACAGATTCCAAATATTAACTCTCAAGTTTAAAGAAACAACTTTGCTTCCAAAAGAATGATATGGTATTTAACAAAATGAATTAGTAGTGTGACTGATGTGTTTTAATAAGTCCATGCAGAGTTCTGCTGAATGACTTATTCCACTATAAGACCTTCTGTATGAGATGGGTTCACAAAGGAAACACCTTTGACAGGTTACTAATTGAGTGTATTCTGATACATAGTGAAGAACCTCTCCCCAAATGTCAACCCTTATAGATATTCTTTCCATATTTCAGGGCACTGAGAAAGACCAGGAGAACAGTTATCATAGATTCATAGAATGGCTTAGGTTGGAGAGGACCTTAAAGATCACCTAGTTCCAAATCTTTTTATTATTTGTCCTGCTTCAATTTCACAGTACAGCAGACAGTATGTCTAAACATGACAGTTACTATGTTTCAAATCCTAGGACAGCTATTTACAAAACATTAGCAAGAGCAGGCTAGTAACTTCAAATTGTTCTAAGACATTAAATCTTTTACTGAAACTAAATCCACTGAGCTACTTATTTTCTAGCTTGCTTTAAAAAATAAAATCATTCTAGTGAAAAGTGCAGCACTGAGCTCACAAAAAAAATCACTTATTATTTCAGTGACAGGTATAAAAATTAAGATTCGCTGCCTTCCCCACTGTATCATATAAAATATGAAATGAGTGGTCCTGGCTCTAGGAGACTGTAGATAAATTGTCACCCTTTCTTTTAAAGATGGTGAAAAGGTATTTATCAAGGGAAGTGTGGTCACGGTCTTGATGATGATGTGATCTACCCAGTATGAATTGGATTGGGTCAATAACACTTGGCAGTAAGTCAGTAGTCAGGAACAGTGTTCATTAATGATGTAGAAACACTTCAACTTTTAGGCAAATTTAGTCACACACAGAATATGCTCAAAATGATCTTCATTCCTATGTTGTTCTTGTTATGTTACCTACATACAGTATCAAAAGAGGAAGGAGTTTTTTGTTTTATACCACAAATACCCTTGGGTTCTTAATGCTTAATTCTGATGGCGTACAGAACAGTAATTATTATTCATAGAGCTGTATAAACTAGCTTAAGGCATGAGTCTAACACAAAATAGGGCTGCAGAAATTATGATGAAGAACTTAGCCACAGATTTTAGTACATTGCAATCACATCTGATAATACATGCTTAATTAAGGCAGAGATCAGGCTGCCCAGGCACTTTGATTCCAGAGAGGCGCGTGAGTTATGCAGGGATGCTGTGGATTGAGTCATAGCTTTATTTAACTCAAAATTCTGCTAAATTTACAAAATAAATCAAAATATATTCTCAAATCATATAGACAGCTCATGTGTTAATTCAAATCATGCAATACAGCATATCTTATAATTAAAAGCACCAACAAAGTTACTCGTGCAGTATATGGCAAAGTAGAACCGCGACCTCAGCAATGACTCCCAGTCATTGTGAAACAAACAATCAGTTCAAATGATGAAGGACTACTTACCAGGAAATACAGATCCTTTCAAATATCCAATAACATTAGAAATTGTCTTGTACGTTGTGACTGACTGAATACTGAGACTGATTATTTTTTTGTCTGTTAAGAGATACAATAAGAAAAAAAACACCTTAGAAAACGTTAAATTTCTGCCTATGCAGCCAAGAGATCTGCAGACCACAACTGTAAAACAGATGTAAATTCCTCCTAAAAAAAAAAAATAGGAAAAAAAAAGAAATAGGAAAAAAAAAAAAAGAAAATAAGGTTAAAAATAAAAGTTACCAATAAGAAATCAGATATTGAAACATGGCTTACTAAGGCATTTCCTCAGATGAATTTTAGTAGCAAAGATTAAACTTGTAATCTTAGAAGATGTTTCTATTCCTTAAGGTAAAAAAAAAAAACAAACTTTAAATTCACCCAATATATGCTGACAGAATGCAGCAGTAAAACCCAGCAAACCAAAATCAGAAATAAAACCACACAAGTAGGATTAACAAAATTCTGTGATAAAATTGTTTTAATCTTCATAGGTTTCCCCAACCTAAGCATTTCCCCAGTTCAATCTTTAACATTCACAGAATTATACCTCATTTACATGACACTACTGTGGAAAAAAAACAACCAAACAAGAAAACCCTAACAAAAACAGAAGAATCATATGCTTAATGACATGGGAACAGGTACACCTTCATACGAGTAACCACTGTGCCAGAACAGCCTTTGGTGACATCCTTATGCCAGCAGAACACAGCTTTGTTTGCTTAGCAGGTATTGGTTGAACAAATTATATAACTACAAAAGTAAAAAAGCTTGTAAAGCAGCCAGTATATATGAGATTTGTCATCACAACTGATACGTGGCACAATGTAAGGCCAACAAAATGCATTTGATTAAAAATAGTTACTTTCGTTTGTTTTTGAAGTCCAGTTCTGCATAGAGAATTATTGCCATTCCATGTATCCGCAGGTAGGACACATTAGCTACTCTGACTCCTGGAGTCTGTGGGAATGGAACAAAACATCCAACTACAGGGCACTGCAGATACCTTTAAAATGTTGCGTTTGCATTATAATAGACTCTATTAACATTCACCTCATCTGAAAGGTCATAACTCCTATCTCAGAAAAGCAAAATGTCTTAAACTGTTCTAACTTAAATGCTAACAATTGCGTGACAGTGGCCATAGCGTCACCCTGACATCCCAGGAAGGCGTGACAGCCCAAGCACTGCACCACCAACAGCACATCGTGGTTAAGGGCAAAGCTTCAATGCCCACATCCCAACTGTCATCACAGACCAAAATTAAAATATTCCACTGATCGTTTTGCTCTCTATCACCTGGGCTGTTATCCTCCCACTGCACTGCTGACAGCTTGTTCCCTGGCTTTGCTTCCCAAAATAAACCAAATATTACAGCAAAGAGTTTACTGCAACATATAAAATCAAAATAATACATCTCTAAGATACTTCAGGGCTCATTTGCTGGTACTTCATCTGGTAAATTTACTTTAAAATTCTCTTAACATAAAATTTTCACTCACTCTCCTCCACTAATATTTGAGAAAAGCAAAATGATAAACAATCTTTTCTTCTACTTCATAAAACGTACCAAGAATATTTATTTCATTTTATTTTACTCAGACAAAACCTTATCTGCTATCAATAATATCATCCTTTATGTGAAAACTGCAACAGTAAAGAATATGAAAGCCAATCAGTTCATTAAAAACAGACCACAGCATATTACTTTGCGATAATTATCATAGCAAGTTAATAATAATTTTGGGTACACGTCATAATTACCTTTTGCCTTCTGATATAAGTTACTCAAAGTTTATTATCAACATCGTGATGAAATGATTGCTACACAAATCTGCAGATACTGTTCTAGAATTTTATTAAATCTTTAATTTAAAAATGCATTAATCTGGAGGGCTCCCAGCACTGTAACTGGTACCTTTATTCTGGTCATTCTGGTCCTCTGGTCAATATTGGTCATTTAAAGAAGTTTGAAAACAGCTCATGGCACCCATATTGATTAAGCAGGTTAAATTTAACCTACATTAAGCAAGTTATGTCTTCTATCTCCTTGCTTAGAGCCATTATAGAGCCTGCTTAGGGCTAGTTTAATAGTCTGCTAGAAAAATATTTCCAAGCCCAAACTGATTTGCCTTCTTCTAGACACAAAACTTCAGACATGTTTCTTTAGACCCCATTTCAAAAAGATTATAAATCCTTTTGAAAACAAGTGACTTAACTCTCTTTTTTCCTTAATCAACATCAGCTATCTAGTCTTCAACTGACAAGGAAGAAATAGGAAATTAATTTTGGGTCTGCACACATTCTGAAATCAGATAGTGAAGTTAACAGACACGTACTGCAATAATCAGCTTACAGTGACTTGGATTTAAAGGCTCAGTGCATTGCATGAAAAAGCTGAAAGCAGTCTTTGGAGTACACAGCAGAAGTGAAATTTAATCCCTTTATGATACTCCTGGCAACAAATCTCACTTCCTAATACTGTATTTTAAAGGCATTGACAATTTTTTTTCCCCCTGCATTCTCTGAAAAATGAGGAGAATTTAACTTAATACTACCCAGGATATACCTTGACTTTATGTAAACCAGAACTTATTTCTGAAGTAGAAAAGTATTTACTTTTGTTGGTATTTTTATGTATTTATATAACTTGAAATCTGTAAGTTACCTCATACCAAATTACTGCCATGTCTTCAAACTACCTGATTTTAAGAATGCATGGTTATTTCCTACTCATTTGATTGAGAATTTTAAAACTATAGAATAACAACCTACTGCCTGGAGTCTAAGTTTACAACTACTGTTTACATGGGTTGACAGTGATAGGACAAGGGGAAATGGATTTAAACTAATAGTGGGAAGGTTTAGGAAAGGTATTAGGATGAAGTTTTTCAGAGGGTGGTGACACACTGGAACAGGTTGCCCAAGGAGGTTGTGGATGCCCCATCCCTGGAGGCATTCAAGGCCAGGCTGGACGTGGCGCTGGGCAGCCTGGTCTGGTGGCTATGTGGCAGGGTGGCAACCCTGCACATGACAGGGGTGTTGAAAGTGGATGATCTTCGAAGTTCTTTTCAACCCAGGTCATTCTATGAGTAAGTAATCAGGTGCACCTCATTTCTTGTTTCACTTTGAACCTTGTCCCATGGTGATATGGAGTGAAGGCACCACACTCGGTATCAAAGACAGTTACGAATTTTGAGAATGCTTTATTTACATAGCTGCATTTTATAACCTTGCTCTATTTGAGAGCTTCTTTGCCTAATTTATAGCAATTGAAACCAAAGCACCGTGTTCCAGACAATATCCTAATAACATTCTCTCTCTCTCTCAAATAACAGCTAAGCAACAACAAAAAACAGCTTCAGAAGCGTACAGCTTTTCTGCAATACTTCTTAAATTCCTTCTAATTACCCATTTTTGAAAAAGTTCATGGGAGCACAGAATTTTAAGATTAATGAGGATTAGCAAAAGAAGCACCATAATAAACAAAAAAGCAAATCTAATTACTGACTTCAACTAATACAAAGCTAGTAACTAACTTAATTCTCACTCTCCACTGTTTGGGTTTTAAGTATCTGATACATCTCAGATGTCTCCCCCCATGTCCTCCCTCTATCACATCATGTCTCTTGAAAATTGCAAGGCTAAGGGAAAAAAGAGGCAGCGTGAGAAAACTATATATAAATGTTTAATCATTACTGATGAATCTGCTGCTTGGCTTTTTGAAACATACTGATAAGAGAATGATCATCATTTTATTCTAACAAATTTTAAGCCAACCAATCATCTGAATTGCCCATTCATCTCTTTTGACAAAAATGATGAATTCTATGTCAGATGTGAAATCTTTCCCTTAAGCTTCTTCAAATCAACAGGAAGACCACAAATTCAGTCTTTACTGTTCTCATACGCCCTGCTCTGTTCAGCACATTCGCTTTAGTTATTGTTATAAAATAGTTATACAAGATTTCTTATCATGAAAGCAATTTTTTGTTTTAATCTCTTCAGAGCTACTATTGAGCACTTCCAGAAAGTATACGCTCCAGACACTGATAGCCATATTGTTATTTCAGAGCACAATGTATCGTGAATGCATTACAGAATTAAGCAAGGCTTGTTGCGACAAAGCTGCCTGACTCAATAAATTAAGATTAAAAAAGAAAAGGCACATGAGTTACTGTGGTTAAAAAGCTTTACATGAAATTGGAAACAGGCTGCTGTGTTCACCAGAAAAGGAGGATGTGGATTGACTCTTTCTAAACAGCCAGCTTGGAATATTCTTTCCAGAAATCTTTTGCCACGCAGAATTCCCACCTTCTCAGGGTGGTAAAACAAACACTACATCTCTCGTACAAAAGGTAGAATAAGTTACCCTCCGGTGATTCTACAATGCAGCCTCCAAACAAACCTCTTTGAAAAACAAACTCCTTGCAGCTTTTTGTGAAAAATGAGTACTTTCTGACAACCCAAATTTGTGACTTCCATCATGCATTTCAGATGTTAAAAAAAAAATACAGCGTTAGCAACCTTCACACATCCTAACTGCTCCTTTAAAAAAAAAGTTATTTTATTGTTTATTCAGTCTTTGTTTACTGGTTGTTGAGAAGTCACCTTATCTTTAAAATATCTAGTCAGCCATGCATGGAGAGCAATAATTGTCCTAACCACAACAGCTTAAGACACGAAGTGTGCGGCCCTACTGCCTTTACATTTAGTGTACACAACTACAAACGCTAACACAAGTCATAAAATTAATCAGCCTTTTTTATGACTTGTTTTATTGTATTCCTATTCCACAGTAACTTTCCAAAGGCAATAAATAAATGATACAGTACATATGCTTGCCCTTAAAATTTGTGTTTATGATTATTATTGCACTTAATGGAGGTTGTAGTGTCTAACTTAATTTGTCTCCCCAACTCCAAGACCATTGCTTTAAATCACTTAAAATAACATAATAAAAGGTATATTTTTTTCTACACTTTTTTTTTAATAGTGACAAATAGATTATTATAAAACAGAAATCAAGACAGAATTATTACTTCTGCATACAGCTTTTCTGGAATGCTATCTGAAAGGTGTTCCTCCCTTGTAACGCATTGCATCACTTTTGTTGGAAGACTGTATTTTCACTTTTATTTTCCAAAAAACCCATAAATTTGTTCAAGCAATAATCTGTAAGAGTTTGCTAATGGCATCATCTCTGAAGATGAATGCATCCTTTCTTTTCATCTAGCTCTATTCAAGTCATTTCACTTTTGTCATGATGACTGTTTTTCTGGTGAAATTTGTTGAGAAAGGTGCCTGAAGGTTTAGACAACAATACAGTGTTTATTCTACAGCAGATAAAAATTAAGGAACACAGAAAGACACAACACTATTTAGAATTATTATGCTAGTGGCACACACACACAAAAAAAGGCACAGAATAATCCTGCTCCCACAGCCTTGATGTTTAAGCACTTCAACATGGCCTAACAAACTGTAATAACTGCTCCCTAGTGAAGATATCTAAAGACAGTGGGATTTTTTTAGTCAATAGCAAGAATTAGAGTTTAATGCCTTATGCTAAGAGACTTCATACTTCAGATATTGACTTATATTAGCTGAATGCTAGCAAAAGAGAAAAGTTATACCTAACTACAGTAAGGTAGCCAATGATAAAGGAACAAATGTCTTTTTTAAGAGCATAAGTTCTATTTTTTTCCATAACCTCTTCTGGAAATTAGCTATGCAAAACATCTTATAGTCAGCTAAACCTCTTGGCAATACACCGTTCTAGAAAACAAATGTGGAACTCTTGAAGAATATTTCATAGTTAAGAGAAAAAAAAACAACAAACATTTGAAAAGCATTACCTGTACTTGACATTTGCACAGGTACACACTTGTCTTTTTGGACTCCATTCTCAGGTATCGAAGCAAGTTTTTTGGCAAGTGCTGCAGAAATTGGTTGCACTAACAGTGCAGTGAGGTTCAGTCGATGTTGCCTGTAGTTTCCATCTTAAATGGCAGACAGAAAAGAACAATTTTGTTAATTATAATTAAGAATTTCTGAATAAAGCATAAACCAAGTGAAAAACCAACCATCTACAATACAGATTAAGACATCTAATTTAGAAAACCAGCCACTACTTTCTTCTTACCTTACTGAAAAAATATTCCTTTAAGAATGTTTACCCCAAAATTACATGTAGATGTTACATTAAGTAGGCAATAGTTCCACAAGAAAAAAGCTTTTCTGAGTCCAAGCAGATAGTAGATTGTGTGTGATTTAACAACAAAAAAAATTACTGTATAGTTAAAGGAATCAGTGAACAATAGAATTACTGATCAGCAGCAATTTTTGAATTGGAGAAAGAACTGAACACAACTTTAAAAGGAAAAGCAGATATTTAAACTGCTTGAAATCAAATAGAAGTATCTGTGTGCACCAAACGATGTTGCTACTGATAAGCTTGTTTGCTTTGCTGCAGATGTGAAAATATTATAAAAGTTATGCTACTTAGCAATACGCGTTTAAGAGGAAAGCCATTTTCACACAAAAAGCTTTTCTTTGTGAACTCTGAAAAGAACACACACCACAGAGGATTCATGTTGATGAAATACTTAAAGCTGATGGAGAGTAGTTCCTTTAACATACAAAGAAACCTGGAAATTTGAATATACACATTCCATTTCAAAGAATACAGTTTGATCGTCTCGTTGACTCAATGAGTATTCAACACAGCTGAGGTGACTGCCTTATTTTATAATTGCAGTTGTTTTTATGATGGAAGGTTGAAGGTGCAGATGAAAGAGGTGTGGAATAAAAGCACACTGAGCAGATAGGTACACATCCAGTGGAAGAAGGTACACTTCAGAAAGCATCAGAATATTTCATTTACATCTTTAAGATCTTTACAAACAACAGCACAAGCATCACGATAGCTGAAGATTTAAGTATATTTTAAAATGTCTATTTGAAAATAAATGAGTTTCCCTATACATCTGCCAACACTGAAGAATAGGAAGGTTTCTGGAGATAACAAGTTATGTTGGGAGAACAACTGACATAACTGGAGGAGAAGGCAAACTCCACAAATGGAAATACTCTAACACAGTTTGGGACAAATCGCTTATATATTTTTCCTGAATATTTTAGTTGGTCTAATAAAAGCACTGTATCTTCTCAAGGAAAGCAAAAATATTCTTGCAGACAAAAAGCCCAGCATGGAAAGGAAGTTCACAGCACGGGGCAGAAACCAGCTCTGCAAAGCTCTAAAAGCCTTCTAACATGCCTGTGCAGATGGAATAATTCCCAAACTTCCATCCAGACATTCAGGTTACAAGGCCTATCTCCGAAACATCCATGCAACATGTTTTTCTGCTGACATGGAGGCCTTTATACAGCTGGGAGGTATCCTTTACATTCTGTATGATTTGCAATCACAAGGGGAAGAAGCTATCAGAAATCAGCAGAAAATGTTTTAATAAACTTATAGAAAATTACAAGCAGATGTGTTGTTACTGAACCGCAGCATACACAAGCATATGCATCCTCCCTGTTTTATTTTTTGTGTTAGAAACTCCTGAGACATCTTCCAACTTGCCCTCAATCATAATGCAAAAATCAACCAACGCTGTAACATTTAATTATGGTGAAAAATCTGTTATTCATCTTCAATACATAGCAGAGATCTTTTCAGTGTTCACTTCTTATAAGTGGAAAGATGAAACTGATCCAAAAGTGATAATTCAGAAGGTGTTTCTTTTTTCTTGCCTTATCAAAGCTGGACAGGGCTGAAAATCCCTGAATGTTACTTCAGTAAATTGATAGTAAATTCAATTTGCTCAAGCTTTAGCAGTCTATTTCTAGAATAAAAAAAGAATCCTGAAATGCCCATCCAAGTAATGTAACTGAGACACTATTTTGTCTACCATTTGTCAATCTGCAGACTATATTACAGGAGCAACGAACCTCAAAATGCTGTAAATGAAAAGCATCTATCCCTTCTCCATTTATCCACAACTTCAGCTTCACACCTGAACAGACTGTGAAAGACATGCATTTGAGAACAACTGATAGGAGAAAACTTCTCATGTTTAAATAAATAAATCATTTTAAGGTATAAAGTACAGTTTAATGGGTAGGACAAAAAATATTGATCTGAGCTACGGAAAGGGAGATTTACTTTATCTGGAAGAAAAACTTCTGAATTAAAAGAATTAATGACTACGCGTGTCAACAGGAGGTACAATATCTACAAAAGCAGTCAGAAACAACACAGATATTGTCCATCTCTTCTCTGAGGCAATGTGCTAGATTAGATGTCCACCTGATAGCTGTCCACCTGGATTCTATGAATTCTTAACAATGGAAAAACTAAATTAATTTAGAAAAAAAAAAAAAAGAATTAGAACAAATACTAAAGCACTTAAAGGAAAGACTTTGAAGTTACTTTCCCTCTACCAGCTATTTATTAGCAATCACAAGAGCATCTTTGTCCTACGAGATGTATACAAAGCCATCTGCATCGTGACCAGGAATCAAACAAGAAACATTCAAAACCTATCCCCCATGTGAAATGCAGTCCGTATTGAACAATTTTGAGATTTGCTGGGCTGCAGTCTTCCAGTTTGTTTTTAAATCGTGGGTTTGGTCAATTATCAACTGCAAAACACAACTCAATTTCCCAAGGAAACTGACAACTAAGAACTTTGTGAGGTTCTCATATCATCTTTCCTAGCTGAATCCTTGGACAACACAGCACTTTCAGGATCTGGGAACCCAACAAATGCTTTGAGAATAATTTAATATTAAGATTTTGCTTGTAATTAAAATTTCATTTTACAGCATCAAAATAGTTCAAGAAACAGAATTCCTTACTCTGCAATTCTAACAATACAACTGTGCCAGGCCTAAAACTGCTATTCATTTAAGAAGGCCTCCAGAGAATATTTTGCAGTACAGAAAGAAAAATACATTAATCAATTATTAAGTGTACTTGGGGAGTGGAAAAAGAGGTAATCTTTAGAAAGTTTCTGACACAGAGCGAGAACTGCACTTTTCCAGTGACTCTGTTTTGGGTTTTCTTCTTTACTGTAAACACAGACGAACCCATTTCCTGCTCAGTCTGGGTTGCACACTTGTAACCTAACATTTCACAGTGTTATGTCATGTAATTTGCTGATGTTAGTAACTTATTCTGAGATTTCTGAAAATGCTTTATGAGGACAATCCAACGTGTCCAACAAGTGTTACATGTGCATTATATTCACTCAATTCTGGATTAAAGCACAATTTTATCATCGCTTCAATGACCAGTCAAGCCTGAAATCAGAGCACAAGAAACAGAAGAGATTTAGTCACAACCTCATACTTCTCTACTCAAAAGAATGTTACTTTATCCACATCTTCTCCAGGGTTGCACAATTTGCCTTTTATTTGTAAGAGCTTATGGTATAGAAATCAACTTCCTGTTCACTTCTATTTAAATTCCATGTTCAGAAAACACCATATTTCATCGTTAGCTGTTTATTAAAGTTGCCCTCTGCCAGGATATGATAAAACAGAAAGTTAATAAAACTGCCTAAGAAGTTTACTGATAAAATTCATTACAGTAATTCTGTCTATGACCTGAAACACTGTTTTAATGACCTCTCAAAAAAAAAAAAAAAAAAAAAAAAAAAAAAAATCAGAAATAAAAAAAAGCTGACTGAACACTGAACGAGAATTGTATATACCTACATCTTTGACTTTCTGTTGCATCAATAATAGAGCAGTAAAGTTTTGAAATATCTGAAGTGAACGGCTCATTAATTTTTCACCTTAAGCTTAATGGAAATTTGACAAACAGTTTTATGCTGAGAATAGAAACTCCAAGAAGGACTTCAAAGCACAGTATGAGAATAAATTAAGGTGTAAAGGACAGAGTGAAGTGTGTTTGGTCAAATAAGATGGCTCTGTCACTCATTTGCCTGGAGTGAGCAGTTAGTTCAACGCATGCCTGTGGAAGAGGTATTCTTCCACTTCAGCATTCCTAGCATGTCTTCTGTGTTGCCCTTTGTAAACACTTGATCTTATATTAACTATGATCAAAACCAAGATGTAAAAACTGACATATCTCAGATATTTGTACAGTTTGTACTTTGAATGTATATACCCTCACACAACTGCACTTACGTCTTCAGCAGCTGCTAAGTTTCCACTGGATCTCATGAAGCTAGTCACAATTTCTTTTTCCTCTGGATAGTTAACCTATGGTTTTGCTGACCTACATCTAACCCCATGCCAAGACTGAAAGGTTTGAACAGTGCTTGCTACAGCAAGACTCCATCAGCTGATTGGTGACTCTAGGTCTTAAGCCCACATTGCTATTATTAATAATAATAATAATTCTGCTATGCAGCAGCTATTTCATTGCACCTTCAGTTACTGTTGTTTAAAAATATATCCGTAAGCAATATTAGTAATAAAGACAAGATTCTCACATCACAAAAAAGCAGTCAACAACACTCCTAGTTAATATTGCTAGAAAAGGCTTGCACTGTCACATTGGTTATTTTACAGCAGAGATTGAAAATTCTTGTTGCTTCTATTTTTGCACCTTGGTCTTCCAGTGAATAGCTCCACAAAGTAGCATCCTTTTAAGGCAACTCTTATTGACTTCCTATGTATTTTTCATTGGCTTTATTAGCAAGAGTGCAGTCATACCAAATTGCAGATTTGTTTCAAGAAGATTCTTTGAATTCAGATCTGTCTAATCTCTGATATAAAATTGTTCCTATCTGCTACAATTTTCAAAATCACAGAGTAAGATGTACATTTTTACTTCATAAAGTCACCATTAGAACACTGTTCTAATAAATTGTTCTAATAAATTGTTTTCGTCTGTCCCTTTTTGCTTTAAATTGATATAGTGAGAATGCTTATTCAGACCAAAAATGTTGCTCTCCAAGCACTTTGGAAATGAAAACTCCGTGAAAATACTACATCTTCTCAACATTCGGATGTCAAAAGT